AAATTTAGAATTTATTGCTATAACTTTAGGATAAGTTACTTTAAACTTAAGAACTAAAGAAGGTACTTTATTTCTAAAACCAGAAAATATTTTGTAAAATTATAAGGAATGTATAATACACAATTGACCAACCATTAATATTCCGTTTATTACTTTTTTAGTTAAGAATTATACATTACAATATTAATTTTAAGTTATATTAAAATATATTATATATTAAATATTAATAATTATGTGGAATTCAACACTAAAAGTTTAGGAATGATTACCAAACACTATTGGAAGCAACATTTTATTTCATTTATGCTTTATGCCGCGTGCACGTTTGTATTTCCTTATATAAATTAAGAAACTCTTGCTTTACTTGTAATAAAAACTAATCTTAACCTTAAATATAATTATTTGTGCCTACTCTTTGTTTTTATTGTTGTTATTGTCTGTCATGCTTATCTAGTAAATTTAAGATTGTGTATACGTGCCTATAGGCACTCCGAAATCAGTATTTTTGTAATTACTACTTTCCAGTCAAGAAATAGTTGCCAAACAGCACGTGTGCTAAATATATGAGTTTGGGAATCATTGCTTAAAGCGCTCACTCATAAAACATCAAAACTGTCCCCAATTTACTGGATTTTTAGTAACCATTATCAAAACAGTTCTCTGCTTTGCTATTTAATATCAATTATATACACTGTTAAAAAAATTTATCTTAATTTTACAATATAGAAAATTGTATGCCTAATTGTATACTGGGTGTTTATTTTAAAAATTCCCACCCTAAATTTCTCGGAAACTGAAAGGTTTGTGAAAAAATCCGAGACACGTAAAGTTTTGTATCGAGGGGTACAATTTTTCATGGCAAAATTTGGTTTTTCACCCTTACTCCCTGCGCCCATCTACGTAGTAATAATCATTTTAAAGGTCTTTGAAATCCCCACATATTGGGGTAATATTTTTTAAATTCGATGGACTCGTTTTAAAGGTTTGGGAAAACCCATTCTCAGAAGTTAAGCATAATATTACTAATGAAAAACATAAAAATCAATTGTTTTGGTTATTTTTATTGTTTTTTATTATTATAAAAGGAATAAGGAATAATAGAAAAAAAAAAATCTAATAAATGCCCATAATTTTGGTTACCTAACTCAGCAGCTATCGATAGCGACACCAATGTGTTAAATTTTTAAGGGGATCCCCTTAAAAATTTAACACATTGGTGTTTTATTTTTTAAAATAGGTCTGTTTATTTTGAAGATATTTTAGAAAAAACATTCCATCTCCATGGTGTTGATTTTTAACACATTCAATAACACTGTAGGTAAATTTTTAACTCTTGAAATATCACATGTGATGCAGTTAAACGTTCGAACACGTATACGTTTATAAACATAATTTTTGGTCCAAATCCGTGCTTGGTGTAGCTGTATCAGGTCTAAAAGAGTTTTTCCTATTGGCTAACCGATCCGGGGACACACTGTATACTGGTATATTATAATTTGATACATACAGGGTGTTTTCTAATGGGATGCTTCAAGACTTGAAAATTAAATATCTTTGAATTTTGACCTGATACAGCTATACCAAGCACGGATTTGTAATCTACGACCAAAAATTAAGTTTACGTGCCCGAGCGTTTAGCTGTGATATTTTCACCTGCGGGTCATTCCATGACAAACGATACTGAGGTTAAAAAAGTAAATAATATTTACTTTTTTAACCTCAGTATCGTTTGTCATGGAATGACCCGCAGGTGAAAATATCACAGCTAAATGCTCGGGCACGTAAACTTAATTTTTGGTCGTAGATTACATATATATTATGTTCTTTTCGCATTAAATTGATGAATTTTGAAAGAAAACATTCTAAATTATATTGTGCGACAAGAAAACGAGAAGAAACGCGTTATTTTAAGTTAATTATTCTTCAAAATATGTATACTCAAGTGAACTGGCTGAATGACCATTGTGCCTCTAACTATTGGAAATACAAAAAAAACTGTAAATCTGTCAACCGTTTTGCCACGTTGTGATTAATAGTTATTTATGTATTAAGGGCATAATAAGGTTTTTATGGTCCGAGGCGCTATTTCGAGCCCGAGCGCGTTAGCGCGAGGGCTAGAAAAGCGTCGTAGGACCATAAAAACCAGTTATGCCAGCAATGCATACAAAACTTTATGCACGATTAATATATTATTATTTTTAATATATTATTGTTTTTAAAGACGTTTACGTCAAAGAATTTTTGTTATAATTGTCATATTATAATGTCAACTGACATCAGATGAATGAAATTGAGGAAGCAGCTGAAAAGGCGAAAAATTGCGGCCTGCTGCCGGAAAAATCAAAATATTTATACGAAAAAACTTACTTCGAATATATCAAATGGTGTAACATTGTTGTTTTTAATTTTTGACGTTTCATTATAGCCCGCTGGGTCATAATAACGCCCGCGGGCTATAAAAAGACGTTTACGTCAAAGAATTTTTGTTATAATTGTCATATTATAATGTCATCGTGCATAAAGGTTATTTATCTTATAAGATACTATAGTATTGGTGGATTGCGTCACAGTCCCGAAATTGATGATTATTACGTTATAAGTGTGTTTTCTTGTTACTTTGACACTGTAACACCCGAAACAAAAAATCAGGTAATTGTTTTATTATTATACCTTACAGATTGATTAGTGTAATTATATTTAGTAAAAGTAAGGTTATGGTGGTAATGATTTAAAATACTAACTAATATATGAGCATAAGACTAATTTGATATGTTTTTTTCCTGATTAAAAACTGTAACACCCGAAACGTTTCGGGTGGCGGCTCGTAGGTTCTGAGAGGGTGGGCACAAAAAACTTACCTACCTACTAATTTTTGTACATAAAGTCAATTCTCCTATTTTTCATGCGAGAAACTGAATTTTCGTGTTTCTTAGCCCTCTCTGCGATGTGTTTTAAATCATCTAACCCATGTTTATTCCACGCACTATTTTTTTTTTTGAAAATTAAGTACATAAAACAAAAAAGCTTATTGGTTACTGAACATCCGCATATCCACTCGTATTTTTCATAGATATTTCTGTTGAATACTCTATTGTAAGTTCGGCCTTTACCTGTGGAAGTGTAGTGTATTCGAAGATCGGGAATGGGTCTTCCTTTTTTCTTAATTAAAAATTTATTTTCAAGTGACTTTTTAAAAGATTTTGCACACAATTTACTTTCGCTGGTTCTATTATTGTTAATAAAAAATAAAGATTATTTTAAAAACAAAACACGTAATTCACTTAGAACTTAAAAAACACAACAGCGCGCGGCGACTTAAAAGTTAGAAATCAAACAAACTGACAAGAGACACCTGAAACGATGGAATGACCCCTCCCTAAAGTGTAATCAACGGATTGATATCCACTGCAACTGCTGTTAAAAATCTACTCGATGGATATGGAAATTCATTACTTGATAAAGATGAATTGTGTTTTCAGCAAGATGGAGACCCTCCCCACTATGTTCTTCCAGCGGCAATGATTAGACAATGAATTTTCAAATAAATGGATAGATCACATGATTTATTACCACTGGATTTTTTTCTGTGGGGGTAATTTAAAGTATTTTGTTTATAGCCCTCAATCTCAAATTTATGAATAACAATTAATCAGTTTTATTGTTACAACAGTTTTTAAATCATTAATTTTGTAATAGGGTTAAATAGTACAGTAATCGTATCTGTTACTGTACTATTTACCCCAATTACAAAATGGATATTTAAAAAAATGTTTTAATTCGACGCTTTTAACGCCTACGCGTTAATTATTATTTTATTTAACAATTAAATGGTGCAACATTTCTTTTTCACGCTAATTAGTGCTGTTTTGCTTTATTTTATATATGTATGTTTGTTGTGCAACATATAATTTTTTTGTGTCGTCCGCCCACTTCGTCAAAAGCTGCCAAAGACACTCGCGCGCGGTCTTTGTACATTTAAACTTTTTGGCACAAAGACACTACGCATGCATGTGTGAATGACTGGACTTTTTCCATTTACGGACGTTATTTTTTTTTCTCCTCGTCGTCGTAATTCGAACCTGAACGAACGTGCTGTTTTTTGTCCACTTTTGTCAACTTTTTTCCCTCTTTTCTACATATACGTTTGATGTGCGAAAATTATTTTTGCTGCGACGAGCGCCGGCTTCTGACAGCTGAATATCGAATTTAAACAAATACGATACCTTGTAAAGGTTTTTTTCATTTATTTATTTATTTATCTAAGCGAACAAGTAAAAAGTGGCACGTGAAATTTTAATTAGTTTATGTGTGGTTGTTTTATAACCACCTCTTTAATTCAAACATTTCGTGGACTAATCTAAAATTAACGATACTTTTTATGGATGCCCTAATTTACTAAAAACGACATAAACCAAAGGGTATTTTATTTTATTTTATTATTTTAATGTGCTTCCAACAGGAATCAGGCCTAATTACAGCAGTACACACTGACAAACACAAATAAACAGCCATTCCCTGCAGGCCCTGGTGGGATTCGAACCCACGACCTCTCGGCTTGTAGTTACCACCGAGGGCAATAATAATAATTAACATTATTAATGTTAATTTTTTACCTATACTTTAGAATATTAAAAACATGTTTATTGTCAAAACTTTTTAAATAGATTTATACTGTTTTCTTTTTAACAAAATTAAGACAGATAATGAAGAATCATATAAATTACAGTTATGCACACATTTTATGTAAATTTCAATAAAGTAAATTTTATTATAAAATAAATATAACATTGTGTAACTTTGCTGTTACTTTTTTCACGTAATACATTATCCGTTCTATTAGTTTTGTTTGTATTCGGTCCGAAAATACATTTCAAACGTTAAACATTATAATAAAAGTTTGTCCTTTTGCTGCCGTAGCCATAGGACCGGAAGGCAGAAAAGATGAGAGACCTGCTCGCTTCCACGCATTTACTAACATTCGGCAATTTTATTTGTTTCAGTGGATCTTCTGCAAATGTTGGAGTTCAACGTGACGGTCAGTTTTCCGGCCGCCCCTTTGCTCACGGTCATACTTGCCTTAGTCGGTAAGTATAATTTTTGACCCCAGAAATTTTCCTTCTGAAAAAACTTTAACCTTTGTTCTCTACCTCATTCATAATTTTTTTTTATTGGTAATGAGATTTTTTTAAACTGAATCGACCTAATATAAAAAATAACGTAAAAGTAAAATTCTTGTCAAAATAATATAGACTATTTTTTATGGTATTGACTACACTGAGAGAAAAAATGTTGTAGAATCATTCAAAACGATAATAATTCAAAGGGATTCAAATATTTTTTGGTGTCATTGGTCATTAATAGGTGCACCTATTACATTATACATGTATAACAATTGTATAATACATATCTTTTTGTAACAACGTTGAGAAAGGCAATGAAATAAATATATTTTTTTTGTATATATACATATTTTAAAGAGGGTACACTTTAAAAGTGTTTAAAAACATTGTAAAACTGTTGGTAAATGAATATAAAACTACAAATTTTTCTATTTGAATCAAATTTACCCGATTATTTAAATCTCGATTTAAATTAATATTATTTCATATGCTTTTCATGACATGGTATTTCTCTGAGTGTATGTTATATATTTTTCTTGAAAATCTGGACTAGCTTTCACCAAATATCAAAAGTAAATGTCATAGAAAAAAATGTATAGTCTATTAGAAAGGTTTTACCTTTCAAAATATAAAGATCATACATAGACATAATAAAAAATCTTTTTTTATCTTATTTTAATAATTATTGGAACAATTTCTTAACATTGGGTGTAATAAAATTATCCATGGTGAAACTGTTCGTAAGTTGTCGGACATCCTTATTAGTAAAGATGGGATATTTAGGTACTAAAAATAGGTAACTAAAAAGGTACTAAAAAAGCATTTTGGGTTAATAAAACAGCATTTTAGGTAAAAAAAAACATTAAAAGTTCAAGTTTCGTTTATAATTTTGTTTAGCCGCATACCCAAACACAGAACATACCCACAATAAACTATTTCTATGCAATAAACTGTGTTTCACTGAGTGACACTCACTACACAGTTCTATGACAGAACATAAGATCACTACAAAGAAGGTAACTGTAAAGAAAGTTACTGTTACAGTCTGTGACCATAAGAAAAAATTCTATACCGTTGAGTTGCACGCCCTGGATAAAATATTTGCGCAAAGTTTATAAAGAACACAAAAAAATAAAATAAGTAAAAATACGTAAAAATAGGTGAAAATAAACTGACAAATTAAAAAGTATGTAACAAAAGTATAAAAAGGTAATTTAAAGCAAAAACCTCCAAAAAGGTAAAAAAGGTGAAAACAAGTTAAAAAATAGGTAACAAAAGTATAAAAAAGGTAGTTTAAAGCAAAACCCTCCAAAAAAGGTAAAAAAGGTGAAAACAAGTTAGGTTCATATAAAAGAAAGTCTTTTAAAACAAATTTTGGCATTATTGGTTTTTAAATAGTTACATCAGTTGAAAAAAGGTAAAATAACTAAAATCCCATCTCCACTTATTAGTAACTCCTTCAGAAACTTTCCTTAATTTAAAAATCAAGTTTTTACAACAACAAAAAGTTTCGTTACCATTGTGTAAAGACGATGAAGACAGGATGTCAAAGGCGCCGAAATTTGTTAAATTGCTTTATAAACTGACGGACAGCGAACGTAAAAGGTGAAATAAGTTGCGGTGAAGGGGTGAGGCGCGGTAGTAAAAAGTAAAAGTTGGAAAATTTAAATCAACACTAATGGACAGAGCCCCGAAGTTAAGACCCTGAATGAAAATTAAATATTAACCCGGAGCACCGGCTTAGTCGTTTTATAAGCCTAATAATATTAAAAGGAAAGTTTCCAGATTAAAAATACTATTTGGAAAATTACGTGCGAATTAAAATTAAAAATTACACCGCCCGCTACAGCAAGGAACGCTTATTAAAAACGTTATGTTTCGGCTAATTGCCCCACATTGTTTTACTTGCATTAATGCTTTTAATTTTTACATTAAATTTAACACTCTTTTAAAACGAAATCGACTTTTTCATCACCTTATTTTAAATATAACGTAAGAGTAAAATTATTTTAAAAACAAAACGTACTTATGTATACAGGGTGTCCCATAATTAGCTTGCTATAGTAAGAAAAAAAGTTCCTTAAAACATAGGTCGATAAATGATTTTTAAGGGAGCTACAGATCCCGAAAGAGGAGCCTCTGAGGATAGTTTTTATTTAATATCTCCAAAATCGTTCCAGATAGAAAAGTGAAATTTTGAGAAATGACCAAACATTTTATAGCCAATAAGATGTAATGATAACAATTTTAAAACTTTTATGAGGGGTGGGATAGATGCTATAGCATCCTATATGATTTGATGTCATAATGTGAATTTTTATGCCATGTAAGGTAATTTTCAAATCTATTTTAAGCGAAAACGGTGCATGATATCAAAGTTCAACAAGAAGACCTTTTTTGTTTGTAAAACTCCTAAATTTTATAATCTGACATTAAATCCTGGCATAAGTCACTTACAAAAAAGTTAGGGTGGTTTTAACCCCTACTCCCTATCTATCTGACCCACCCCTCATGAAAATTTTGAAATTGTTATCATTACTTCTTATTTTCCATACAAAATTTGATCAATTCCCAATATTTCACTTTTCAATCTTGAACGGTTTTGAAGATATTAAATAAAAACCATCTTCAGGGGCTCCTCTTTCTGGGGCTGTAGCTTCCTTAAAAAAAATTTCTCGACCTATGTTTGAAGGAACTTTTTTTCTTATTTTTGTACGCAGAATCTGCTCCCTTAGAAATCATTTCCTATGTTTATAGGAACTCTTTTTCTTATTTTTGTACACAGAATCTGCTATTAATGTATTGCACGCTAATTATGGGTCACCCTGTATAAGGGTAATAAAAAAAGTAAGTTTTCTTAATAAAAAGAATGAGACTCGGAAAATTGTCGATTTTACATTTTTTGAAAGGAACATTCCGTTAATTCTTCGAAAATCGACCAATTAAAATATAAATGCATACAATTTTAACGCCCTTTTATTCAATTATGTAGCTTACAAAAATATAGTTTCAATTTCAGAATTATAAAAAAATATAACAATTGAGCGCCCGTCGCGAACTACATATTATGCACTTGAAACTTTTATTAGGTATTTTTTCTACTCCTATTACGGAATATGACTCTTCTTATATCAATTTTTAATGTGGAATTACATAAATTCCTTACAGAATGAATTATTTTATCACCGGATGACGGAATAAACACTGGTGGCGACATGTGTCTATTATCCAACAAGTTTTAGACCGATCCAACCTCACTTTCTCCCAATTAAATTATTTTTCTATGGAATTTTGTTACACAATATAATACTATTAGTCGTAAAATCTGCCCTTAAAATGAATTAGTTAAAAATGACTAATTATAAGTCATATTTGACTAATTATCATAGCAAAAAAGTCGTCCCTAACAATTCTACGGAATGAAATAGTTAAATTATTAGATTTAAATTTAAAAAAGTTTTGACCCAGCCGGGGTCTAAACTCGGTCTGTCGCTTGTCAAGAGTTATTTAAATAGTAGAATTTTGACTATTTCATTTTAAGAGAATGCGAAAAAAAACACAGTGTTAAATACAATTTTATGTGGCATATCATACAAAATTAAAAGTTACAAATAATTTTTTTTAGAAAAGTTTACATGGTGTTTCAATTTGTAAAAACAACGTAACTGTAAGCGGTTTCGATAAAAAGTATTTTTTTTTAATTCTTTGGGTATTTTTTTTTAATTTTTGAGATAATCACATTTTTATACAATCTAATATTAGCAGTAATTTACAACAAAATTTTCAAAATTAACGTATTTATTTTCAAGCGTTCTATATTTTAAACTTTGTTATTGTCAACACTTTAAAGTGATTGATTATACTGGTCAACAGCCATTTTGGCACAGGGTGGCGAACAACTTTTCTAGGGTTATTTGGGTGCGAGAATACCAAAAATACCCATAACTTTGCATAATTAGCCGTAGTTTTCTACTCTCTAAAAATGAAACAGTGGATTTTCACTGATTGACAGTGCATATTAACTATTTGTCGCAGTGATAAGTATACCACTAGCAATTAGTGAATACTCACTTTTTCATGTAGCGATTTCTATGCACTAATTTATTTAGTGGAAATTACACTGTACAAATTAGTGAAATAGGTTTAGTTCAAAAAAGTTAAAATTTCACTATTTTATGTCGAGAGTTCCAGAAAAGTAGTGATAATAAAAAACACTAATTTGGAGAAGTTAAAATTTCACTAATTTATATTGAAAAACACTAATTTTACAGTGAATAATAATTCACTGACGGAAATAGTGAAAATTTCACTGTTTCACTTTTGAAATGAAACAGTGGATTTTCACTGATTCACAGTGCATATTAACTATTTGCCGCAGTGATAAGTATACCACTAGCAATTAGTAAATACTCACTTTTTCATGTAGCGATTTCTAGTTAGTTCAAAAAAGATAAAATTTCACTATTTTATGTCGAGAGTTCCGGAAAAGTAGTGATATTAAATTTGGAGAAGTTAAAATTTCACTAACTTATATTGAAAAACACTAATTTTACAGTACACTGACGGAAATAGTGAAAATTTCACTGTTTCACTTTTATTGAGTATCTAAGCTATACAAAATAATTTTAATGTCACTTGACAGATGCCTACTATAACATTTTTTCTATGTCAAAATTCGGAAAAAAAATTAGGGTCGTTTTTCGAAAAAAATAAGTACGCCACTGAATGCGGCATGCTTCAACATGGGTAGAAACCAAATTTCGTTATAAACAAAAATTGATACATAACAAAAAACCAAGATAGCCATACAGAAAATTTATGTTTATAACGTGTTAAAATAAACTTGTCTGAAATAGGTTTTAATGATTAATTTTTGATGAAACTAAGTTTGTACCCATTCTCAAGTATGCCGCGTTTAGTGGCGTACTTATTTTTTCCCTAAACCTCATAAATGTGTTTTATTT